AAAAAAAAACATTTCTTGCTATTTTTGGTCAAATTTGAGTTGCCATGGAGTCATCAACAGTCTGAACCCACAGTGTTACCTTTTACTGAGATCTAGGCAATACTGGAAATTAGTTCCACAAKTTCTGAGATCAGCAACAATGATCTAAAAAAACAAATACTCTAAGTAATTTAATACTCATTGATATATAAAATAATAATTGTTGGAGTTATACTGTGGCTTGCAATGAGCGGCTGTAGCATAGATCTATTCGTTCCATTTCAGATAAATGTCATTGTCAGTTACAATCATTTTAAATAAATATTTTTTATACTGACAAAAGTTGATCTTCAAAGCTGACAATGCATTTATCCACGGGCCTCCCTCTTCAYTCCTTATTAAAACATGAAATGAGGCAAAGTCTTTAGTGAAACAGTGTTCCATTCATTCAGTGTAGTTCATGGGACTTGTGCTTAAATGTGCACTAAAGCTGTTCTGGCACGCCATTAAAACATTTTGTATTGATTTTCTTCTCATTTTGTCGCCCAGTTGTACACCCTCACACAGGCAACACGGTGTGAATGCTATTGTGTTTAAAGCCCAATTGACTACAGTATATATGTATTCATGAAATATAGACTGCATAAACCATACAAACTACTGTAGAATTTAAAGTTCAATTTGACTCGTGTTGACAGGAAAGTGGGTCAAAAGTGATTCAAAATGAAACAGACAATGATGGTTTTGGCTGATGAAGACAGAAGGGAGGACGAGTCAATGTTAAACACACAGGACCGATGTATAAAGATGACATGAAGTTTTGATAAATTGAAAACATCGAACCGCACCAGTCAGATGTCCTCCTTTGGCAAGACAGACAGACAAACTAACACTAACAACTATCTAATCCTATTRGCTCTCACGTACACACAGCTTCTTCTACTCTGCCATCATTTTTTCTGCCTTGGCTGCCATGGCAGCTTATGGGCACTTCAAAACATGAATGATAGAATGGAGAAAAAACAGAACAGACGGGAAGAATGATGGAGAGAACAGAACGGACAGTAGTGGTGTCCCGAGGGCAGGTCAGTAGAAATAAGARCAGCTCGTAAGGATGTGAGGTGGTCTCATCTGGCTGTCATTAGAGACGACATGCTGTGCACACACTCAAACTGCTTTAACTTGAGGGTTGAATGTTCCCTCTTTATCTGAATGCTGTCTAGGTTAAGAATAGGAATAAAATCCGGGGGTTACATTAGTTTCATGTTAAATTATAGGGTTGGGTAGATAGTAATTAAGAATGTCAAATCTGTAAAAATCTATAGATAAGAGAATGATTAGATATTGTTCTTTGCATCTGCAGGAGGAAAAAAAATGAAGATATTGATTCAATGTGACCTGCTAGATCCACACGAGTCACATGTTGTTCTATTTATAACCACATCGCCTTGTTTGTTAGTCAGTTTCTCCTTTTTAGGATGGTTTTATTGAGTGAARATTTTCAGCTTGAGTGCAGTTTACCTACAGGGTGCTGTCTCCTCTCTTTGACTAATGGCTGACAACGCCCATGTTTATGTTTATGTTTTTTTTTTTCTCAAATTTAGAATTTGCAGATCTGTGAGGCCGGTAGCGAGTTTTGTGTTCATGTTGCTGTCTTGTCCTCAAGGCCCCTTTCTCTTTTTATTTATTTGTTTATTTTTTTTATTTTTCCCCTGGCTGTGACAATAATAAGTGTCCGTGTGTGTTTTGTCTGCTTGCTTTGTGTCCTGCTCCTACTGTGGCAGATGGTGCGCAGCCCACGCCCAGATTAACAGAAACACATTAGTCAAATCAGGGCACCGTTTCACATCTTAAATCAACCTTTTCCTGTCTGTTCATCACTCCTTGTGCTCCGTCTTTGTCCTTCTAGTTCACAGGGAATTCATTAAACAGAAACGCTGCAAAATTTTATACGTATAAAAAAGAAGGCGGGGGGAGACGGAAGGCTTGTATGGCAAAACATCCAAAATCAGCAACATAATCAATAGGCACTGGGCAACTGAGATAAAATGACTAAATAGGAGGTGACTGACTGAGACAAAGCTTGTGGAAAAAAAAAGAAAGGAAAAGGGAGGGGTGAGGGTGGGGGGTGCATGAGGATGCTGTTGCTAAGGGAGAGTGGTTGGACCAGACATTGTTGGAGGGAGGGAAAGAAAGCTTCCAGCATTATTCTCCATCAGCACAAGCACTGTCGCCATGACTCCCACCGACGTCCTATTGATTCACCGGAGGATGTTGTTCCCATGGCAACCACCCATGCCCCCCTCCCCACCCCCTGAAATTGGCTACAGAGAGGGGAGGGAGAGGGCAGGGGGGTGTGAACTTATGGTGTAGAGCAAAAGGTTCACACAAAGTGGAAATGGGGGAGAAATGTTTTCTAAACAGGCTGAAGGATTAGATGACAGGCAAGACAATCAGAGCTAATGTGTTTTTTTTATATACGTGCAATGACTGAAAAGAACAGGGAGGTTGTGAGGTAATAAAGGAGAAACACATTTGTGGGGTGATAAATAAGGATAACATATAAGAGAGAAAGAGAAAACAGATGTGTCAAAAAGGAGAAAAAGTGACCTAAATTCGCTTGGGTGTTGGTCGATTGCAGATATGGATGCAGCGTTTTCTGTTTTTCTCTGTCATTCTAGCTTACACACAGTAACAGACACACTAATCATTGATAGGGACACAAACCAAGGCAGTTCTGATTTACAGTTAGTACCAGTAGGCAGATTTTGAAGCAAATATTGGTTGTGCATTGAAGACAGTCAWATAGGGACAGACAGTGTTTAGAAACACAATTTCCTCTGAATTTCACTCCTTCATCTCATGTGTTTATTTATATTTAGTTAAATTCTCATTCAAAAAGTATGAAAA